GACGGAGGAAGCTGTGCCTCCCGAAGGTCAGCGCCCACATGGTGGCGGCGAGGTGGGCTCGGCACCTGGATGCGGCCCGCTCGCGTTTGGTCAAGCTGTTGGGGTGCGACCTGGACGACCGCGTCGAGCGGGCAGTTGACCTCCTCCTCGAGACTCACCGCTACTACTGCAACGTGGCGAAGTCGCAGCGTGTGCTTGGCCAGCTCTCTGAGGACGTCGCGCAGTGGTTCTCGGGCGGCGTGGCCCAGATGAGCAAGGGGGCATGGGCCGCCAAGGTCGAGAGGATCGTGGCAGAGGCCGAGAGGAACACCAGGCGCTACAATGGGGAGCGTGCGAAGGAGTGGCGTGCGTGGGCGGCCAAGAGCCTCACAGGCGGTGCGAGTGCTGCACACCGCTTCACGAGGCTACCTCCTGAGGCTGAGGTCCGCGGGGCCACCGCGAGGGCCAGCCCGCGCCAGATGGCTGACCGCGAGCTCGACGGGTGGAAGGAGGTGTGGACAGTCCATGAGCAGGGCGCCCTGGAGAAGCCACCTGATTTTGAGGACTGGGCCGAGCTTCCGCGGATGAGCGTCGGTCACCTTCGACGTGCAGCGCTGTGTTTCAAGGAGCGCACTGCGGTGGGCCAGTCGGGCGTTGCCCCGCGGGCCCTCTGGCATCTTAGCGACATCGGCGTCTACGTGCTGTCGGCGCTCTTCAGCCAGTGTGAGAAGCTGGGGGTGTGGCCGACGGACAGGGTGTACACAGTGCTGGTGCACCTGCCCAAGGCGAGCGGAGGATGCAGGCTGATTGCCCTTGTGAACTCCTTCCTCCGTCTGTGGGCGAAGGCGCGTTCGACGATTTCACGTGCCTGGCTCGACCAGGCGGACGTGTCCAATCTCTGGGGTACTGGTGGGGCTGGCAAGACCTCGACGGCAGCAGCGTTCCATCGCAACCTGACGGCTGAGATCATGACCATCAATGGAGGGCACAGCGTCACGGTGCTCCTGGATGCGTGGAAGGCGTTCGACAGCCTGATCGGAGGCAGGCTGCTGGAGGAGGCTCGGGCCATGGGGTTTCCGCTCCGTCTCATGTGGGCCATCCTCAAGTACCACCATCTGCCGGGGCGCATCAAGGCGTTCGGCTCGTTGTCGAAGAGTTTCACGGCGCACCGGGGCATCCTGGCGGGCTGCTCCCACTCGATGGCGGTGCTGGTGGTGGCGACGGCGCGGGCCTTGAGGCGGCTCGCGACATATGACGTGATTCCGCGCACGCTCGCCGGCGACGCCCCGGCGCAGTGGATCGGCGCGGACCTGCGAGGTGTGCGCGTCCTGTGGCAGGCCGTCAAGCGATTCAAGCACGAGGTCGGGGACGTGGGCCTCGTGTTGCAGGAGCTCAAGTCGGGCTACGTGGCGACGTCCAGGCAGAGCCGTGATGCAGCGGCGCAGTATGCCAGGCGGCTCAGGATGGGATCGCAGCCGCACATGAGGGACCTGGGCCACGACCTGAATGGGGCCAGGGCCTGCAGGAGGGTCTTCAAGACTAGGCTCAAGAACGCGAGGCCGCGGCTGAGGCGTGCGGCGAAGCTACGACGTGCTGCTGGAGGGCGCGCGGCGTGCCTGTGGCAGACGGGCCTGCTGCCTGCTGCCGCCCACGGGGCTGCGGTGAGTGGCGCGCCCCCCTCCGAGCTGGCCGTGCTGCGCTCGGAGGCGGCCCGACTCGTTGGAGCCAAGGGCCGAGGTGGCAGCATCGCGCTCTACCTGGCCAGTGAGAGGAACCCGTGGTACGACCCAGTCTCCGCGGCAACTGTCGAGCCGCTCATGCACTACGCTGCGGTCGTGTGGAGGCAGGCGGTGTCCATGAGTGCGCTAGAGAAGGCCTGGGGGGTGACGCTGGACAGGGTCGAGGCGGGCGAGGACAAGCTGACGTGGGCCTCGGCGCGCGGGCCGCTCAAAGTGGCCGTCCTGTCGCTCAAGCGGATTGGCTGGGCGACGTTGTCGTCGGTGCTGATTCAGCCTGATGTGGGGCCAGTGATTTCGCTCCTTGCCACGTCGCCTCGCTTTTTTCGCGACCTCCTGAGGCAGGGGGTTCAGCGGTGGCGACACTTTTGATCATCACGCATGCCTTTGCTATACAGCTTTGCCTTCAGCCAAAGAGAGCCAGACCAGAGACTGCGCAGAGCTCCGACCCTCCCCGCCCCAGTCACCGTCGCCCCCCCCCCCCCGCCCACGCGCGCTCGCAGGCCTCGCGGCCATAGGGGCGCGGCCGCGTCATGGTGAGAGGCAATCTGGCGCATCCGTGCCGGCACGAGGCTGAGACGCTGGGCCATTGTTTTGTTGAGTGCCCAGCGCTAGCGCAGCGCCTCTTGGACGATGAGGGGGATTGTGGTCTCGATCCCAAGCTGGCCTCAGCTCGCGACGCCATGTTGGGGCATGGGCCGATTGGAGAGGGCCGTCAGGATGTTGATTCGTTTGCCCTCTCTGTCGGGATCCCCAGGTGGCCCACGGTTGAAGTGCCGCCGCCGCCGCCTGAGTCGCCACCCTGTTTTTTTCTGGGGAGATTGGGAGTCGGATCCCGCGCAGTGGAGTGATTGTGTTTTCACTGATGGCTCGGGATGCCACAATGAGTATCCTGAGCTCCGTCGGTGCGGGTGGTCCGCTGTCATGCTGACCGCCAATGGAGCCCCCGCTCGTGCACTGCATGGCGGGCTCGCAGGCGCGCGGCAGACAGTGGGCCGTGCAGAGCGAGTGGCGGGCCTCAAGGCCCTACAGCACATGCCTTCGGTCCAGTGTGTGATTTCCGACCTGCTGGAATTTGTGCAGGAAGGCAAGCTTTGGGGTCAGGGAGAGACTGAGGCCCTGACTGACGCTAGCCGTGCGTGCCCTGCAGTGTGGCGCAAGTTGGTGGCTTGAAAGAACACCGCCTGCCTTCGCATGGGTCCCTTCCCACAGGGCCGAGGATGAGGTTCTCTTCCCCGCCCCCGAGGACCCTCCGCCTCCTCCTTACCTCTGGGTCGCGGGGAATAGTTGGGCCGATTTTTTCGCTTAGCTGGGGGCCCTTTCGGTCAAATTCCCTGAGGCCCATGCTAGGTTCTACAAGGCCTCGCTGGCCGAGGCGGCCCAGTACGCCAAGTATCTGTCGTGGGCGGTCCAGAGAAGCTGTCAGTTAGAGCTGTGGGCTGAGAAGGCCGTCCTGTCGGCCGCCCCGAGCAGAGCGCCCAAGGCGGATGGAACCAGGATGGTGCTGCTAATCCACGAGCATGACCTCATTGAAATTCGAGGGAAGCTCATGTGCCGTCGCTGCCGCCGAACGGCGAAGACCGCTGAGGCACGCAGGCAACTGACGGGAGGCACGGATCGTCGGTGCGTGCCTTCTGCGATTTCTCGCATGCAGGCAAATCTGATCGAGGCTGCTGCCAGTGCCACTGTGAGGCCGCCGACGGCCCGCTGGGGGTCTGTGGGGGGCCGCCTAGTGGCCCTGGGGGTGCCCGTGTGGCTGGGGCCTCGGCTGGGCCCGCTCCTGCTGCTGCGAGGCTTGGGCCTGCTGGGGCTGGGGGCTCGGCTGGGGCTTTCGCTGGTGCTGGGTCTGGGGGCTCGGCGTCTTTGGCCTCCGAGGAGGCTGCGCGTGTGGGGCCTGTGCCTGCCCGCGAGGGCGAGGCTGGGGCTCCCTTGGGGTGTGCCGCGGGCTCTGTGGAGCCTGCGGTGGCGGAGTGGTTTCACGCGCCTGGGAGACACGACGTTACCGCCACGGGTACGGTCGTCTGGTGTCGGCGGTGCGGGGCCTACGGGTCTGTCAGGGTGGGGAAGGCCTTCAGCTCCCCCTGCCCTGACCCCAAGGACTTGCCCAAGAGCAGGAGGTCAGTCCTCAGTGCTCTGCAACGTGGCAAGCACCCCAAGACTGGGCAGTCCCTCGCTGGGTGACTGATCGTCTGGGGCTTTCACCTTCCGTAGAGTGGTGTCTGTGAGCAGACGCTTTCTCGTCACCAGTTCCCCAGTTCCTCCTCCTCCTCCTCCTCCTCCTCCTCCTATTCCTCCTCCTCTTCCTCCTCCTCCTCCTCCTCCTATTCCTCCTCCTCCTCCTCCTCCGCCTCCTCGTCTTCCTCCTCCTCCTCCTCCCTCTCCTCCTCCTCCTGCTCCTCCTCCTCCTCCTCCTCCCTGGCCCCCCCCTCCTGTCAAGAGTCGGCCCCCGGGCCCATCCTGGGGCGCGTTCCGGCCAGAACTTCGAGGCGGCCCAGCCAGGCCCAGGGGCCCGCAATGGGCCAAAGACGCGCGAACACGACGATGCTGGCAGGGCGTCCGCATCATAGTGCTTGCACGTCTTTTCGTTGCCTCTGGGCCACAGACACACGGGTGCACGCGCGCGACTCCGTCGTCTCCGCTCCCCTGGGCCTCGCTTCTGCTCCTCCCCCCTCCTCTGCCACCCCGGTGTTTCGATGCGTTCTGGGGTTCGCTCGTATCGCTCCACTCTTGGCTGTCCTGACTCCCGCGCTCGGCACGCTGACGACTGACGATGCGATCGGCAATGTGACCGTGGTACCCTCTCCTGTCGCCGCTTCCCACCCCCGCTCCAAAAATGCCGACAGACGATCCACAGCTGGGGGATCCGCGGTTTCATCACCCCTTTTGGGGGGCCGATCGCCTTCGACGCCCCTGTCGAGAGATCGTCGACACAGCGGATTCCCCCGGGAGAAGCACAAGAACACGATTCGCCCAATTGTGGCCGGCCAGGGTAACGGCGGCTGCGGCGGCGGCAGAGACGGCGATGGCGGCGACACCAATGACGAATTACGGCGACGACAGACGAATTACGGCGACGAGCGACGAACGATGAACGATAAACGACGCCGACGAACGCCGGCGAACGACGAACGACGACGAACGACGACGATCGCACGACGACGAGCGACGGAACAGACGGTGCCCGACGACGCACGACCGACGAGCGACCGCCGACGAACGACGGCCGACGACGACCGAGCGACCGACGGACGGCCGAGCGACCGCCGCGCCGCGCCCGCCGCGCAGGTCGAGGGCGCTTCGCCCGCCCCCGCGCATGGCCCCGCCGGGCGCCTCGTGCTCGTGGACCCGGGGGGCGCTGCGGCCGCCGCCTCCCGCGGCCGCCGCCGCGGCCGCGACCGACGAGCGGCGCCGAGCGACGGTCAGCACCGACTGGGCGACTGGGCGACCAGCGGCGACCGGCGCCGAGCAGCGACGGACGACGACGGGCGACCGACGGAGGGCGACGAGCAGCGGCGGCGGACGACGACCGACGGCCGACACGACGGGCGGCCGACCACGATGGACCACCCATGGGCGACCGACGACCAACGACAGCGAACGACGACGACATGGATGAGAGACGGCGGCCGCCTCGGCGTCGCCCCCAACGGCGGACGCTGCCGCGGCCGCCGCCGCGGTTCGATGATCGGGGATCGCTGATTGAGGTTTTCCTCCTCCACACTTGCCCCGTCCCGTTCTTGCCGTCGTCGTTGTCGTCCTCTGCCTCCTCCTCGATCTCATCCGTCTCCTTCCCGCTCCTCCTCCTTCTTCTCCCTCCCGTTCCCCCATTCCTGTTCTTTATGAAAAACTCCCCCCCCACTTCCTCACCATTTATGGTCCTGAAGCTTGAAATTCGCAACAGTTTCACGGAGGAAAGGCGGGTGGTTTCCAAATTTGTGCTGTTCAGTTTAGCGCCGCGCATATTCTTTTAACATTCTGCAGCAGTTTCGCCGTACCGCCGCGTACTCTCGGCGCAACCAATTGCAACAGCTTCAAGGATGGAGAGTGGGTCGTTCTCAAAATGTGGCTCTAGCCTGAGCGCCGCGCACATTTGTTTTAAGACTTCACAACAGCTTCAAGGGTTTTCCTTGCTAACATCCCCAAAAGGGTGTTTTGGCACGATGTCAGAGTGTCAGGGCGCACCAGTTACGTTGATTCGTTGTGTGGAAGTCCCAGGCATGGTGTTCTGGCACAGTCAGGAGACGCAACAATTATGGCGATTCGCGGCGTTGAAGAACCAGGAATGGTGTTTTGGTGCAGTTCAGGATTTTCAGACGGTTGTCTTCCAATGGGGCGCTTCATTCAGTGAACATGAAACCTCGCAGGGGCCTAAGAAGACGGAACTTGGAGGGATGGATTACGACAATATCGTTGCTGAGTCTTGGTTTTGCCCAGGTCCTCCTCCTCCTCCTCCTCCTCCTCCTCCTCCCATTCCTCACACGCCCCCCCGACCCACCTAAGAAGACGCCCCCCAGAGACCTTCTCCCTCCCTCCCCCCTCCTCCCTCCCCCTCCGCCCTCCTCCCGTCACCCCGCGCAGCTGGGGGGGCACCCCTGGGGGGGCGGGGACGCGAGGGGAGGACCTCGCGGGCAGCGAGAACGTCCAGCGCAGCGGCGCCGACGAGGCCGCGGCCCCGCCGCCGTCGTCCTCGAGCCACCGCCGCCCTGGCACTCGTCGGCCGGCTCGGGGGGGGCGAGCTCCAGGGGGCACTCGTCGGGGGGGGGCACTCATTTTCGGCCACTCGTCGGCCAGCCTGGGGGGGGCGAGGGGGGGGGGGGGCGAGCTCCAGGGCCGCGGCCCCTCCAAGAGCCCCGCGGCGCCACGCCAGAGCCACGCTGCGCTCGGGCGCGGGGGCGGGACCCGGAAAAAAAGCCAGGGGGCGAGTGGTGCGGAAAAACACGAGCCTGCGACGCCTCCGCGCGGGGCCTGCGGGCGCAGGCCTGCGCGCATCCAGCGGTAGTGCACCATATAGCAGTACCTTTGCCTGCTCGCGTGTGCGATCGTCCGTCCAATCCCCAGCGCCTTCATTTTCATTACCGCCCATCCTGCTCCCTTCTCTTCCTCCACCTGTTCCCTCACCCTCTCCTTCTCCTACTCCTCCCCTCGGTCCCTCCCATCTCTTTGCCTTGTTCTCCCTCCTCTGCCTGTGCCCTCTTTCCCCTCTTCTCCCCCCCCTGTCCCCCCCTCCGTCCTCCCCTCCTCCCCTCTATCCTTCCCTCCTGTCGGGAGCGAAGGTATTACGTACGTGTGTATGGACTGCTAGTGTGTTTCAAGAGTATGCGTTGCGCGAGCGTTGGTCACGAAGCTGGCCTCGTTGACTGGGGGGCCGTAGTCGTGCACATGGCTGGGCGCATGCATATTTTGCGGGCGCATGCGTTCTACCTCCAAGCTCTGTATAAACATTCACTTTCCCCAAGCCCTCGCGTTCTTCCTCCTCGCGTTCCCTAAGCAGAAAACTGTACAAACATCAGCGTTTTGACGTCAGCGCGAATTTTTGTGTCTGCGCGGATCCCCCTGGCGGCGCCTCAGGCGCCGCCCTTGGTGCGCTCTGCGCCAGGGAGGCGCCAGTCCAATGATTACGTACGGACCTTCCGATGTTTATGCAACTTTTTGTCTTTCCTTCTTCTATCCTCCCTCCCCATCTCTCCATCTCATCCGCTGCCTCCGCCTCATCCTCCGCCGACTCGAGGCTGTGTCTAAGGGCTCGGCGCCTGGTCACGCCTTCCCGGGCGCCTGAGCCCAGAGCGATGATGGTACAGAGTTCGGGAGTACGAAACCCACGACTCCGCCTCCTCGCTTCCGCTTGTTTCATGGCGCCAACATCGCAGAGCGGATTTCTATCGGAAATCGATGGGATGGGCCAGGATTGTCCTGGAGAACTTCGTTCCGGATTTCGAGGTGAATTTCGTGCGGCTTCTTCTCTGGCCAGGAGCGAAGACCCCCCAGACATCCACGCGCCAGTCGCTTCGCCCTCTACTCCCCGCTTCGGCGCTGTGCACCCCAGAGATCCACGCCCAGCATCCGCTGCAGCGCGCCTGCAGAGGTCGGTGCGTGTGGCTCTCCCCCGCCCTCCCCTTGGCAGGGCGGCCAGCTCCTCGTCGAGGCCCGGGCCATCAACCGCAGCCTCAGCGCGCTGGGCGACGTCATCGAGGCGCCGCCGCGCGCCGCCACCCGCCGCCCGCCGCCTCCGCGCCTCTGGGCGCTGATCCGGAGGGCTCCACCCAGACCTGATGATGATGATGATGATGATGATGATGATGATGATGATGATGATGATGATGATGATGATGATGATGATGATGATGATGATGATGATGATGATGATGATGATGATGATGATGATGCATGATGATGCATGATGATGATGATGATGATGATGATGATGAGGAGGAGGAGGAGGAGGAGGAGGAGGAGGAGGAGGAGGAGGAGGAGGAGGAGGAATAAACCAACGAGGAGGAGGCGGAAGAGGAGGAGGAGGAGGTGGAGGGGGAGGTGGGGGGGGGGGAAGAGGAGGATGACAGTAGGAGGACGATGACGATGAGTAGGGCGAGGGCGTCGACGGTTCCCGCTCGTGCGGCGTTTGGGCGGCGCTGGGCGGCCCACCAGCTGGGCATCGGGCGCGGCCGCCCCGCACCGCTCCCGAGGGGCCCCCGGGGCAGGGTGCCATGCGTGGTGGACGTGGGTCTTTCCTGGCGGTGCGTCGTTTTGACCTCCGCCGTGGAGAGGAGCGAGGCCGGCGGAGGAGTCAGAGGAGCAGGCCTCCCAGGTGGTGTCGGAGGATCGCGCCGCATCGCCGATGCATGGCCGATACGGCTCGATGCGGAGCTCGACTTTCTCCACGCCGACGTCGCCGATGCATCACCGAGACATCACCGATGCATCACCAATACATCGCCGAAGCATCGGCGAAGCGGCGCGATCCTCCGACCCCATCTAATCGGACCCTGTGTGGGAGGCCTCTATGGCGGAGTCAGAGGAGGGCCTGGGGCAGGTGGGGGCAGAGGAGGCGCATGCTCGGTCAGAGTCTTGGCCGCGAGGCTGGCCGCGAGGCGTCCTTTGTCCGCAACGTGTTGACGTGTGGAGGGCGCAGTTGGGGACCCCGCGTGGGCACTCCCGCTCAACACAGCCTCCAGCGAGGAGCCCGCCGGACGCAGCCTCCGTGGAGGAGGAGGAGGAGGAGGAGGAGGAGGAGGAGGAGGAGCAGGAGGAGGAGGAGGAGGAGGAGGAGGAGGAGGAGGAGGAGGAGGAGGAGTGAGGAGTGAGGAGGAGCTTCTCGAGGCCGCCACCCGCGACCGATCTTCCCAGCGGTCGCCCCGCCACGAGCGACAAGCGCGGGGGCGCACGCGGGAGGACGGCGAGGCGCCAGCAGGCGGGGCGAGGAGGACGGCCCCCGATGCAGGCGCAGGGGCGTTATCCGGGGGGCTCCTGCGGCTCCTGCTGCCGAGAGGGCCGGGATGGCGCGACACGAGGGGGGGGGGCGACGACTGGCATCTGGACGCCCGAAATGGGTACCGAAAGAATGGGTACTATGCCCAACAGCAGTTCCTGTTCACTTTGAACAGGATCCGCTGTCCGCGCCGCCGCGGCCTGTGTCCATTCGAGACAGGAGGCCGCCCGCCCAACAGCGGCCGCTGTTGGTTTGGGACAACATCTGCTGTTGGGCATCGTACCCATTCTTTCGGTGCCCATGTCGGGCGTCCAAATGGCAGCAGGACGGTGTCGATGCCAGGGCGGTCGTGGTCCGCACAGAGGTGGACGTCGGCTTCGCAGCAGCAGCAGCAGCTGCTGTCGACTTTGGACAGCGTCTGCTGTTGGCATCCTCCCCGCTGGCGCTGTTCCCAATTCGGGCGTCTCAGTTCTGATCTCCAGGGCCTCCCCACCCTCCGAGAGTCCTCCAAACTCGCGGGGGCCCCCGAAAATCACAGGATCCCCCCCCTCCGTGGTCCTTCCTCCTGCCGGATGCCCGATGCTTCTGATTGTGCCCTGACTCTCCCACCGCTGCGGGCAACGCGACCTTCCGCCGTCGCGGAGCCGTGCGCCAGGATCTCGAGGACCCCTCGAGGAGTAGTTGGTATGTGCAGCTGCCCACCCCCGAGAAGGAGGGCGCTGGAGGGGGCAGGCGGGGCAGAGGAGGCAACGAGGGCAAAGGAGTTCGGTCTGACGCGTCGGGTTCGCCCTCAGAGGTATCCAGAACTGCATGGCTCGTTTCGATTCCTCCGATTCGATTCGATTCTGATTCCGATTCCGATTCGATTTGACTTGAGATTCCGACTCGGATTCCGATTTCTCAATAGAGGCCTACTAGCCTGACGATTTCTTCCGCCGATTCGACTTCTCCCGACTCGGGTGTCGGGGCTCGAGCGGAATGGTGCTTTGGCGATCCCGTGGGCCGTTGTCGTTCTGGTTCCGCTCTGCAGCACAGGCGGGACGACGACGGACCGCGGGAAACCAGCGGGTACCCATGCAGCTGCTCCCCGGGACCTCTCTCCCGGGGTGCGTTCCGGCCAGGACGTCGAGGCGAGTCTTGCGGCGGCGTCGAGGGCCTCCTGGGAGGCCGAAGGAGGGGAGCCCGGGCGCAGGGCAGCGGCACGGCTACCGCTGTCTCCGCGGGAGGAGCGCGCGCGCGGTGGCGCAAGGCTTCAGTCGGGCCTGTCCGTCCCTCTACAGGAGGGAGTCTTCAAAGATGGTCAAAAAATAGTCTGGGGACTATTTTTGGATTATTTTCTGACCTAGGAGATTTTTTGCGTATTTCTTATTTCTTCGTCGACAATCCCTTTGTAGGGAATATTCAAAAATAGTCAAAACATAGTCTGGGGATTATTTTTTGAGTATTTTCTGACCATTTTGGGGTTTTCTTTTGGCATTTCCTATTTTTTTCGTCTTAAATCCCCCTGTAGGGGGACGCGCACGACTTAACGCCAAGGCGCCGCTCGGGCCTCGCGCCCTGCCAGGGGAGGCCGAGGCAGGGCTCCCCCCGCGGCTGCGGGCGGCGGTGCCCTGCAGGCGGCGCCTCGCTGCGCCGGCGACGAGCGGGGGGGCCACGGCGGGGTAGCGTTGAGTCGGGCCCGTCCAGGGGAGGAGGAGGAGGAGGAGGAGGAGGAGGAGGAGGAGGAGGAGGAGGAGGAGGAGGAGGAGGAGGAGGAGGAGGAGGAGGAGGAGAGGAGGAGGAGGAGAGGAGGAGGAGAGGACGGAGGAGGAGGAGGAGGAGGAGGAGGAGGAGGAGGAGGAGGAGGAGGAGGAGGAGGAGGAGTGAGGAGTGAGGAGTGAGGAGTGAGGAGTGAGGAGTGAGGAGTCCCTCTACGGGAGGGATGTCCAAAAGTAGTCAACAATCAGTCTGGGGACTATCTTTGGAGTATCTTATATGACCACTTTAGAGTATTTTTTGGGGGTACTTTGTAGTTCTCATCGAAAGTGCCCCTGTAGGGGGACACGCCCGACTTGAGGGCAGCGCTCGGCCAGCCTCCCGGTGTCAAGCAGAGGCGAAGCGTCCTGGCTCGCCTATCGGCCTACGAAGCAATGTTCTAAGAACCTTTTGTGGTTTCCACGAAATGTTCTTCAAACATTTCTGGCTGGGACTGTCTTGTCTAAACACAGCGGGTGTATGTTCTAAGAACCTTGTTTTTGTTCTTAGAACATTTCTGGGTTCTGAGACAATTTCGTGGTTGGCCAATGGAAATGCCGGGGCGGTCGGTCTCTGCTCAACCCAGGCCACGGCGAAGCAGCAGGCCTTCGTGCCCTACCGCAACTCGCGCCTCACGATGCTCCTGGAGGAAGCCTGCGTTCGCTCCCTCGGTCCTGCCGTTGAGGAGGGGGTGGTGCAGGGGGGAGGGGGGGCGGAGGAGAGGGGGGATTGCAAGCTAGGTGCGCTCGCATCACATCTGACGTCCTACCCCGTCCTTCCATAATTTACCATTGCGTAGAGCCCCTCTCTATTCTCACGGACGGGTGTCGAACAAAAAACGACTCCGAAAGGGTACGCGATGTACAGCATGGCATAGCATTGCGTAGTCAAGCATTTCATGTCCTAGCATTGCAGCGCAAGGCACGGCATCGCATAGCGGTACATACCTTAGCATGGCATGGCATGACATTGCTAGCCCGTATTGAATTGCATACTATGGCTGTGTGAGCGGTGCAGCCGGAAAACAATATTTGGGGCCAACAATTTGGAGACGAGGCCGTTGCTGCAGCGGGAGCATCATTCGGAAAGGCCGAAACGCGGAAATGAGGCCAGCGCTGCAGCGGGAGTACCATGTTGAAGGACCGGAAACGCAGAAATGAGGCCACCGCTACAGCGGGAGCACCATTCGAAAGGACCGAAGACACGGAAATGAGACCAGCTCTGCAGCGGGAGCACGATTTTGAAGGACCAGAAGCGCGGGAATGAGGCCAGCGCTGCAGCGGGAACACCATCTTGAAGGACCGAACTTGATCGGTTTTGAACCACATAAGACATACACACTTTTAATCTTGTGTGAAAAGCAAAACGCGGAGATGGTAGGACATCTTCTGGACAGGGTCAGGGGAGAGAGCAGAGTCATTTTCATTTTGTGCAATTGTGGAAGCGTGTTTCTCTTTCTTCCTCTAGCTCTCTCACTCCTCCTCTTCCCACTCCCCTCACCATCTTTCCTCTCCCCCCTCTTCTCCCTTCTTCTCTTAGTATCTCCTCACCCCCTGTATACTCTTGCTTGCATAATATCTATCTGCTCTAACCTCTACATTATCCTTACCTCTATCGTCTCTCCACGCGTACGCATTATGATTACAACTTTACTTTTTGACCTGCATATGCCCAGAATATGTTCGTCACTCTCCGTTTTTTTGTTATTTTCTTCTTTCTTTTTTTCCAGTGCAGGAGTTCAAGCCATGTGTTGTCTTATGTTTTGTACGATTCGATCTCTTTCGGTGTTCAAAATAGTGCTCCCGCTGCAGCGGTGGCCATATTTTCGAGTTGGAGCTTTGCTCCCATCCATCAGAATGACGCTCTCGCCCCAGCGCGGGCCACTCTTCTGGATCCGAGACCCTCATCGTCGTCGTCGCCGTCCTCCCGCTTCTCCTGCTCCTTCCGCTGCAGTTTCCGCTGCTGCTGTTCGTCCTCGTCCTCCTCCCTCCTTCTCCTCCTCCTCCTTTTCCTCCTGCTCATCCTATCTCATCCTCCTGCTCATCCGCCACCCCCTGCTCCTTCTCCCGCGCCTACGCTATGTAAGCAGCTCTCCATTCCCGGTTGCGCGCAGCACGATGGGCTTTTTCTGGGAGTTCCAGGTCCGCTATGACGCGCGTGCGCGGACAGAGAACCATCAGCGCGTGGGAGGGGTTAGGGTGGGAGGGGTCGGATGCCACACAGTGCGCGAGCGCGCCCAGCTTGTCCCTCTCGTCTGCTGTCTTCTCTCTTCTCTTCTCTCCCCTTCTCTCCCCTACTCTCGGCAACACCCCAACATACTTATACTATATGTGCGTCGCCCCCCCAGGGGCGACGCGCGCACCGAGAAATCTTATAGTACATGCGTCGTGGCGGGCGCTTTCTGGCCACACCGCTCGGGAAACGATATACTACAAGATGGGTGTACTATATGTTCGGGTCGGACGCGCGCCTCTAAGGAGGACATATAGTATTAGTATGTCCATGTGCGTCCCCTACTCTCCCCCTCTCTTCTCCTCTCCTCTCCTCTCCTCTCCTCTCCTCTTTCTCCCCTGCCTTGGCCAGGGAGGGCATCCGCGCCGCGCCCGGGCTCTGGAGTGGCCAGGCCTGGGGCGATGGACCCGCGGGGACCTCGCTGCCCGGAACGCTGACGTCGGAGGGCACCAACTATACACCAACACCGATCCTGGGCCCAGGATCACCCTAGGCCCAGGATCGGTGTATACGCCTTCTTGCGCAAGGCAGGAGGGCGTATACACCGATCCTGGGCCCAGGGTGATCCTGGGCCAGGATCGGTGTTGGTGTATAGTTGGTGCCTTCCTATGACGACGTCTTCGGTTGCACTGCGTCGGTGCCGATGCGATCGCGAAGTGTCCCCTACAGGGGGCTTTTCGACGAAGAATAAAAGATGCCCCAAAAATTGTCCAAAAAGAGTCCGAAGATAATATGGGGACTATTTTTTGGGTATTTTTGTTAATTTTTGAATATTTTTTGAGTATTTTTCATTTTTCGTCGAAAATCCCCATGTAGGGGGACACGCCCGACTTAAGCAAAGCCTTCTCTGGCCGCCGAGCAAACGTTGGCGACGAGCGCGCGGGCGCCATCTGGCCGAAGGCGCGACCTTCAGCGTTCGGCAGCCCGTCCGAGACGATCAGCAGTGCTTGCAGCGTCAATGACCAACCGCACCGATTCGTTCACTGGGGGCGTATGGGATCCGAAGTCGACGGAAACGTTCCATGCCAGCGCGTGCGCCGAGTCGAGGCGGCATCTCATGTTTTCTTTCTCTTGCGCGGCATGTTGGCGAACATGGGACCAAGCCTAGTCATCTACGATCTATCGCGCACAACGGCGATTCTGAACGCTCTTGAGCTCGACAATCCGCTCGAGGCGACTGCAGCGTATGGATGTGCAATGGCGTCCGCGCGCTGCGACCTGATATTTTGCAACCGTGCTTCCCATTGCGTCGCGGCGTGCAAGGGCGGTGACGCGTTTCGTTTTGGTTCGCAGAAACCAGCGAGCGTCATCGGCGTTGTTGTGATACATTGCGCATGTTCTCCCAACTTTGAACAAGCTTTAAAGCTGATTCGTGCGTACATTTTGATATTCCGTGACGTATTGGAGGAACGCACATTGGCAGTGCATTGTTTAAATGCTTCTTGACGTATCGCGCTAAGTGACCCAGCACAGCTTATGCAATCATTCTGCACGTGATAACCGACGCGTTTGCTTGAAGCCAAACGAAAATAGTTGCGCAGACGTAGGAATGTGTACAGTCTAATGGCAATTTTAAAATGCAGTTCCCAATGCCATAATAACGTCATCCATTGCGATCCAATTGCACACGTGCAGTGGAAACCGTAACATATCGGCACATTCAGCGCCATCAATGCCGACAGCACGAGCACTGCCAGCAACATCAACATCACCATCGCTAGCATCAGCAGCACATCAATAGCAGCAGCGTCATCTTGAACATTTATTGCTGGCATTCCCAACACCATGTAAACCGCCAGCACCACCAACGGCACCAACAGTTCGGACGTAAGTAGACCAACCGAGATGGGGTCCACCCTTTGTTCGAGCTCTTAGCGGATGCGAACTTCCTCACAGCGTGGAGTTCAGCAATGCGAAGGGGCTTGTCCATTGATAATACATCTTGGATGCTCAATCACCACATCCAGAGTATCCAGTGTCATCTGCGTTCGAGGAATCCCGCGGCACGCATGCACGTGTGTTCGAGTAAATCTTGAGAGGGCGCGAGGGGTCACGCGCAGCTGGACGGCCTCCTGCGGTGCCCCGCGCCGCCCTCACGGGGGCGCGACCTGCCGTTCTTCCTTTCCCCCCCTCCTCCCTCGTCCTCCCCGCTTCTTTCCTCCCTCCCTCCTTCGTCCTCCTTCGTCCTCCTTCGTCCTCCTTCGTCCTCCTTCGCCCCTCCCTCCTTCACTGGGCGCGCGAGTGGTCTCGCGCAGCACGACGGGCGGAGCGCAGCGACAGGCCCGCGCAGCCCGTGCGCCGTGCCCTGCGAGCGTGGCCGAACCTCCGGGCTCAATTTCCGCGCAGTTTTTTCTGTCCCGGCCGCGTGGCCGATGGAGCACACCGTCGGAGTCAAAACTGTGTACTCCAGATTTCGTAATAAAGGGAGGGGGGTCTCATTTCGGGGGGGGGTCTCTTCCAGGCTATCTTAGATGGCCTGGGGGGTCTGGGGACGATGCTTTGGAGGGTTCTCCCAAGGGGAAGGTCTGAAGTGGCTTGTCTTGGAGGGTCCAGACCCCTTCTCTTTTATTACGAAATCTGGAGTAGCCCAATTCGGGGTGGAACTTCGGGGGCCTCCGCCCCGTGCCGACGCCGGCACACTCCCTCTCCCCCCCCTTCCTCGCCTCGCCGCTTGCCTCCCTCCCTCGCCCCCTCCTCCCCGAATGTGTGCACGAGTGGTGTCGCGCAGTACGGCGGGCGGGGCGTCCCGACAGGTCCGCGCAGCCCGTGCGCCGTGTGACCAAAACTCCGGGTTGTGTTTTCGCCATCTTTTTCTGATTTATTCTGCTCGGAGTTGCAAAGCTGGACCGCGGAGGGCACGACTCCACGCTTGGTGGTGCAAGCTATCGTCTCCACTCTGCCCTGGCCGCGTTGCCGAGGCACTTCGGGACACGCTGCACCCAGCAGCCGATGCGAGCTGTCCTTCACCCTCGTCTTTTTCCCCCCGCCCTCGCCTCCCGGAGGCGGAGCGCTGGCTCACCGCTTGCTCGCGGTGAGCCTGCTCTCCGCGTCCTCTGCCTGTCTCGTCCTCGCTCTTCCCCGAATGCTGGAGCCAGAGTCGGACGACCTGTCATCGTCCAGACCGGCTGGGCCGAGTGCGGTGCGTGTTGGAGGCGCGGTGCTCGACGCTGTGGATCTGCCTCCCTTCCCCTCCTCCCCGTCTGGTTGCCGTTCGTGCCGATGCATTTTCGCTTAAGTAGTTTCTGGCATTCGCCATGCCCGCCAAGAGCGCGGTGCCAAGCTGCGGCGAGGACGCTTCGCCCAGCCCAACTCTGTGTGGTCCCCTGTCTCCCCCGCCTTGTCCTCCTCCTCCTCCTCCTCCTCCTCCTCCTCCTCCTCCTCTTTCCCTCATTTCTATAGTGCTCGGGGGATTTCAAGTTTCCGTGGCCAGTCACGGAGCTTGTGCCCATATAGCTGTATAGCTATACAGTTTTGCCAGGGTCTGACAGGTGTTTTGGATTGCTTCCCCTCCTCGTCCTCCTCCTCCTCCTCCTCCTCCTCCTCTTCTCCACCCCGTCTCACCGATACGATTTGGGGGAATTTCGTATCGCTCCGCGCTCGCACGATTTTGCTTGATGACCGTTCTCTTAAGCAGTGGCGGGAATTCGCTCCAAGCGCGCAAGTGCTCAATCGTGTAGCAAACATCGTTTCGATAGGAACCAGCCTTCGCGGCTTAACGTGCTATTGCCATGGTGTGGTGACGTCAAGCCGGCGGGCCATCTGAGCAAACAGGAACACTTTATATATCCACACATATTCATACACATGTACACGCACACACTAGTAGGTGTATAGCTATACATTCACATCGGCGTTTGGGAGGTGACATCGAAGTGGAACGGAGAGCTCCCCACCCAGAAATCGATTTCGGTTTGGGATTCGTGTCGCGCGTGCGGGCGAGGGCAAACTGCGTGGGCGGGCGAGAAGAATGATTCCGTTGTGGCTAGGGCGGGTCAAGACAAAAGAGCGCCCTTCCCTTGGGCTGGCGTGGTCGGGGGGGTCCCGCCGTGATGCCCCGTCGGTATCCTGTCGGTGTCCCGTCGGTGTTGGCGGGCGGTGGTTGGGGGTGTCCCGCCGTGGTGTCCCGTCGTTATCCCGTCAGCATCGTCGTCTTGCGTCGTGGTCATGCCTCGTCCTCAATTCGTGGGCGCATCACCAACACCACCACCATCAAAAACATCGCAGTTGTTCTCAAATGGTTTTCCCCTACTTTCTGTATCACCAGAAAGGTCAATCGTATAAATGTATATGTATATTTGTCGAGACTAGTGTATACCTGCATGCTCTTCCTTCTCACTTTTTCTCCCCCTCGCTTTCATCCTCTTTGCTTCACCGTCCTCAACGGGCCATGTCCTCGGTCAGGATCCCTCTTCTCAAACACCTTTCTCCCCCTTCCCTTCCTCCAGCCTCCCGTCTCCGCCTCCTCTCTCCCTCCCTCCCCCTCTTTCCACCCCCTGCTCCCTCCGCCTCCCCCCCCCTCCCTCCTCCCCTCCTCCCACCCCCCTCCTCCCTGCTCTCCCCGCCCCCCTCCCTCCCCTCCTCCCTCCGCCCCCCCCCTGCTCGCGCCTGCTCGCGCCTGCCCCCCTCCCGCCCGCCGCCCGTCGCCCGCCGCCCGCCGCGCCGCTTGCCGCGCCGCCCGCCGGCGCCTCTTCGCCGCCTGCTCGCCGCAGGAGCCGCTGTCGTCCTCCCGGGTGCTGCTGCTCGCCCACGTGAGCCCCATGGCGCGAGACGCCACGGACGGCGGGCGCCGCAGGGGGGGCCCCCGCCTCGCCGGGGCGCCCGCCTCGCCCGGCTTCTCTCGAGGGGTCGGTGCGGGAACTGCTCGCCGTGCCGCTCTCGGCCTCTGGCGGCAGCCTTCGGGGCGCCAGGGACCCCCGGGCGCCCGTGGCCCCTGGCGCGTGCGGCCTGGCACGGTCCAGTGTTCGCGGGCCATCAGAGAGCAGCCCTGGATGAGATCAGGGGCAGCGTTGGGAGAGGATGCGCTCAGGAGGGGCGCGTCGATCCCAAATCGCCCTCTGATCGCCAATCGGGGCCCCGTAGCCCACCCCGCGCGGGAAGGTGCGGATTCGCTATCGGGGGCCTATCGCCGAT